ACAACAACACTCACAACATCACTCACATTAACACTCACAACAACACTCACACTCACAACATCACTCACATTAACACTCACAACAACACTCACATTACCACTCACAACAACACTCACAACACTCACAACATCACTCACATTAACACTCACACTCACAACACTCACAACAACACTCACATTAACACTCACAACAACACTCACAACACTCACAACATCACTCACATTAACACTCACAACAACACTCACAACACTCACAACATCACTCACATTAACACTCACATTACAACACCACTCACAACACTCACAACACTCACACTCACAACAACACTCACAACATCACTCACATTAACACTCACATTACAACACTCACAACATCACTCACATTAACACTCACAACAACACTCACAACATCACTCACATTACAACACTCACACTCACATTAACACTCACAACATCACTCACATTACAACACTCACACTCACATTAACACTCACAACAACACTCACAACATCACTCACATTACAACACTCACACTCACATTAACACTCACAACATCACTCACATTAACACTCACACTCACAACACTCACAACATCACTCACATTAACACTCACATTACAACACTCACAACACTCACAACACTCACAACATCACTCACATTAACACTCACAACAACACTCACACTCACAACATCACTCACATTAACACTCACAACAACACTCACAACATCACTCACATTAACACTCACAACAACACTCACAACAACACTCACATTAACACTCACAACAACACTCACACTCACAACATCACTCACATTAACACTCACAACACTCACAACACCACTCACAACACCACTCACACTCACAACACCACTCACACTCACAACAACACTCACACTCACAACATCACTCACATTAACACTCACAACAACACTCACACTCACAACACTCACAACACCACTCACAACACTCACAACATCACTCACATTACAACATCACTCACATTAACACTCACAACAACACTCACACTCACAACATCACTCACATTAACACTCACAACAACACTCACACTCACAACATCACTCACATTAACACTCACACTCACATTAACACTCACACTCACAACACTCACAACACTCACAACATCACTCACATTAACACTCACAACAACACTCACACTCACAACAACACTCACATTAACACTCACAACAACACTCACAACATCACTCACATTAACACTCACAACAACACTCACAACATCACTCACATTAACACTCACAACAACACTCACAACATCACTCACATTAACACTCACAACAACACTCACAACATCACTCACATTAACACTCACAACAACACTCACAACATCACTCACATTAACACTCACAACAACACTCACACTCACAACACTCACATTAACACTCACAACAACACTCACAACATCACTCACATTAACACTCACATTACAACACTCACAACATCACTCACATTAACACTCACAACAACACTCACAACATCACTCACATTAACACTCACATTACAACACTCACAACATCACTCACATTAACACTCACAACAACACTCACAACATCACTCACATTAACACTCACACTCACAACATCACTCACATTAACACTCACAACAACACTCACACTCACAACATCACTCACATTAACACTCACAACACCACTCACATTACCACTCACATTACAACATCACTCACATTACAACATCACTCACACTCACAACACCACTCACATTAACACTCACAACACTCACATTACCACTTACACTCACAACACTCACATTACAACACTCACACTCACAACACTCACACTCACAACAACACTCACAACACTCACAACATCACTCACATTAACACTCACAACAACACTCACAACACTCACAACATCACTCACATTAACACTCACATTACAACACTCACATTAACACTCATAACACCACTCACATTACCACTCACATTACAACTCACACTCACACTACCACTCACATTACAACACTCACACTCACATTAACACTCACAACATCACTCACATTAACACTCACAACAACACTCACACTCACAACATCACTCACATTAACACTCACACTCACATTACAACACCACTCACATTAACACTCACAACAACACTCACAACACTCACAACACCACTCACATTACCACTCACACTCACAACACTCACAACACTCACAACACCACTCACACTCACAACACCACTCACAACACCACTCACATTAACACTCACAACAACACTCACACTCACAACACTCACAACACCACTCACATTACCACTCACAACACTCACAACACTCACAACACTCACATTACCACTCACACTCACAACACTCACAAGACTCACATTACAACATCACTCACATTACAACATCACTCACATTACAACATCACTCACACTCACAACACCACTCACATTAACACTCACACTGACATTACCACTTACACTCACAACACTCACATTACAACACTCACACTCACAACACTCACACTCACAACACCACTCACACTACCACTCACAACACCACTCACAACACCACTCACAACATCACTCACAACACCACTCACAACACCACTCACAACACCACTCACAACACCACTCACACTCACAACACCACTCACAACACCACTCACAACACCACTCACAACACCACTCACACTCACAACACCACTCACACTCACAACACCACTCACACTCACAACACCACTCACACTCACAACACCACTCACAACACCACTCACAACACCACTCACAACACCACTCACACTCACAACACCACTCACAACAACACTCACAACAACACTCACACTCACAACACCACTCACAACACCACTCACAACACCACTCACACTCACAACACCACTCACACTCACAACACCACTCACAACACCACTCACAACACCACTCACAACACCACTCACAACACCACTCACACTCACAACACCACTCACAACACCACTCACAACACCACTCACAACACCACTCACACTCACAACACCACTCACAACACCACTCACAACACCACTCACACCACCACTCACAACACCACTCACAACACCACTCACACCACCACTCACAACATCACTCACAACACCACTCACACTCACAACACCACTCACAACACCACTCACACTCACAACAACACTCACACTCACAACACCACTCACAACACCACTCACAACACCACTCACACTCACAACACCACTCACACTCACAACACTCACACTCACAACACCACTCACACTCACAACACTCACACTCACAACACCACTCACAACACCACTCACAACACCACTCACACTCACAACACCACTCACACTCACAACAACACTCACACTCACAACACCACTCACAACACCACTCACACTCACAACAACACTCACACTCACAACAACACTCACACTCACAACACCACTCACAACACCACTCACAACACCACTCACACTCACAACACCACTCAAACTCACAACACTCACACTCATAACACCACTCACAACACCACTCACAACACCACTCACAACACCACTCACACTCACAACAACACTCACACTCACAACACCACTCACAACACCACTCACAACACCACTCACACTCACAACACCACTCACACTCACAACACTCACACTCATAACACCACTCACAACACCACTCACAACACCACTCACAACACCACTCACATCACCGTAAGTGGAGGACAGTCATGTGGTGTGTAGTGTAGTGTATAGGGTAGTGTATAGTGTGTAGTGTAGTGTATAGTGTAGTAGTGTAGTGTATAGTAGTGTATAGTGTAGTGTAGAGTGTATAGTGTAGTGTATAGTGTAGTGTATAGTGTAGTGTATAGTAGTGTATAGTGTAGTGTAGTAGTGTAGTGTATAGTGTAGTGTATAGTGTGTAGTGTATAGTGTAGTGTAGTGGTGTATAGTGTGTAGTGTAGTGTATAGTGTAGTGTATAGTGTAGTGTAGTGTATAGTGTAGTGTGTAGTTTATAGTGTAGTGTGTAGTGTAGTGTATAGTGTAGTGTGTAGTTTATAGTGTAGAGTGTAGTGTATAGTGTAGTGTATAGTGTGTAGTGTATAGTGTACTGTATAGTGTAGTGTATAGTAGTGTATAGTGTAGTGTATAGTGTAGTGTATAGTGTATAATGTAGTGTATAGTATAGTGTATAGTGTAGTTTATAGTGTAGTAGTGTATAGTGTAGTAGTGTATAGTGTAGTGTATAGTGTATAGTGTAGTGTATAGTGTAGTGTATAGTGTAGTGTATAGTGTAGTGTATAGTGTAGTGTATAGTGTAGTGTGTAGTGTATAGTGTATAGTGTAGTGTATAGTGTATAGTGTAGTGTGTAGTGTATAGTGTAGTGTATAGTGTAGTGTATAGTGTAGTTGTATAGTGTATAGTGTAGTGTATAGTGTAGTAGTGTATAGTGTAGTGTATAGTGTAGTGTATAGTGTATAGTGTAGTGTATAGTGTAGTGTATAGTGTATAGTATAGTGTATTGTATAGTGTATAGTGTAGTGTATAGTGTAGTAGTGTATAGTGTAGTGTATAGTGTAGTGTATAGTGTAGTGTATAGTGTAGTGTATAGTGTATAGTGTAGTGTATAGTGTATAGTGTAGTGTATAGTGTAGTGTATAGTGTATAGTGTAGTGTATAGGGTAGTGTATAGTGTAGTGTATAGTGTAGTGTATAGTGTATAGTGTAGTGTATAGTGTAGTAGTGTATAGTGTAGTAGTGTATAGTGTAGTGTATAGTGTAGTAGTGTATAGTGTAGTGTATAGTGTAGTGTATAGTGTAGTAGTGTATAGTGTAGTGTATAGTGTAGTGTATAGTGTATAGTGTAGTGTATAGTGTAGTGTATAGTGTAGTGTATAGTGTATAATATAGTGTAGTGTATAGTGTAGTGTGTAGTGTATAGTGTAGTGTATAGTGTAGTGTATAGTGTAGAGTATAGTATAGTGTATAGTATAGTGTATAGTGTAGTGTATAGTGTAGTGTATAGTGTAGTGTATAGTGTAGTGTATAGTGTAGTGTATAGTGTAGTGTAGTGTATAGTGTAGTGTAGTGTATAGTGTAGTGTAGTGTATAGTGTAGTGTATAGTGTAGTGTATAGTGTAGTGTAGTGTATAGTGTAGTGTATAGTGTAGTGTATAGTGTAGTGTATAGCATAGTGTATAGTGTAGTGTATAGTGTAGTGTATAGTGTATAGTGTAGTGTATGGTGTAGTGTATAGTGTAGTAGTGTATAGTGTAGTGTATAGTGTAGTGTATAGTATAGTGTATAGTGTAGTGTATAGTGTAGTAGTGTATAGTGTAGTGTATAGTATAGTGTATAGTGTAGTGTATAGTGTAGTGTATATTGTAGTGTATAGTGTAGTGTATAGTGTAGTGTGTAGTGTATAGTGTAGTGTATAGTGTAGTGTATAGTGTAGTGTATAGTGTATAGTGTAGTGTATAGTGTAGTGTATAGTGTATAGTGTAGTGTATAGTGTAGTGTATAGTGTAGTGTATAGTGTAGTGTATAGTGTAGTGTATAGTGTAGTGTATAGTGTGTAGTGTATAGTGTAGTAGTGTATAGTGTAGTAGTGTATAGTGTAGTGTATAGTGTAGTGTATAGTGTAGTGTATAGTGTAGTGTATAGTGTATAGTGTAGTGTATAGTGTAATGTATAGTGTAGTAGTGTATAGTGTAGTAGTGTATAGTGTAGTGTATAGTGTAGTGTATAGTGTAGTGTGTAGTAGTGTATAGTGCAGTGTATAGTGTAGTGTATAGTGTAGTGTATAGTGTAGTGTATAGTGTAGTGTATAGTGTATAGTGTAGTGTATAGTGTAGTGTATAGTGTAGTGTATAGTGTATAGTGTAGTGTATAGTGTAGTGTATAATGTAGTGTAGTGTATAGTGTAGTGTATAGTGTAGTAGTGTATAGTGTAGTAGTGTATAGTGTAGTGTATAGTGTAGTGTGTAGTAGTGTATAGTGTAGTGTATAGTGTAGTGTATAGTGTAGTGTATAGTGTATAGTGTAGTGTATAGTGTAGTGTATAGTGTAGTGTATAGTGTATAGTGTAGTGTATAGTGTAGTGTATAATGTAGTGTAGTGTATAGTGTAGTGTATAGTGTAGTGTATAGTGTAGTGTATAGTGTAGTGTATAGTGTATAGTGTAGTGTAGTGTATAGTGTAGTATATAGTGTAGTGTATAGTGTAGTGTATAGTGTAGTGTATAGTGTAGTGTATAGTGTATAGTGTAGTGTATAGTGTAGTGTATAGTGTGTAGTGTATAGTGTAGTGTATAGTGTAGTGTATAGTGTAGTGTGTAGTAGTGTATAGTGTAGTGTATAGTGTAGTGTATAGTGTAGTGTATAGTGTAGTGTATAGTGTATAGTGTAGTGTATAGTGTAGTGTATAGTGTAGTGTATAGTGTAGTGTATAGTGTATAGTGTAGTGTATAGTGTAGTGTATAGTGTAGTGTATAATGTAGTGTAGTGTATAGTGTAGTGTATAGTGTAGTGTATAGTGTAGTGTATAGTGTAGTGTATAGTGTAGTGTATAGTGTATAGTGTAGTGTAGTGTATAGTGTAGTGTATAGTGTAGTGTATAGTGTAGTGTATAGTGTATAGTGTAGTGTATAGTGTAGTGTATAGTGTGTAGTGTATAGTGTATAGTGTAGTGTATAGTGTAGTGTATAGTGTAGTGTATAGTGTAGTGTATAGTGTATAGTGTAGTGTATAGTGTAGTGTATAGTGTGTAGTGTATAGTGTATAGTGTAGTGTATAGTGTAGTGTATAGTGTAGTGTATAGTGTAGTGTATAGTGTAGTGTATAGTGTAGTGTATAGTGTAGTGTATAGTGTAGTAGTGTAGTGTATTGTGTAGTGTATAGTGTACTGTAGTGTATAGTGTATAGTGTAGTGTATAATGTAGTGTATAGTGTATAGTGTAGTGTATAGTAGTGTAGTGTATAGTGTAGTAGTGTATAGTGTAGTGTATAGTAGTGTAGTGTATAGTGTAGTAGTGTATAGTGTAGTGTATAGTGTAGTAGTGTATAGTGTAGTGTATAGTGTAGTGTATAGTGTAGTAGTGTATAGTGTATAGTGTAGTGTATAGTGTAGTAGTGTAGTAGTGTAGTGTATAGTGTAGTGTATAGTGTAGTGTATAGTGTAGTGTATAGTGTAGTGTATAGTAGTGTAGTGTATAGTGTATAGTAGTGTATAGTGTAGTGTATAGTAGCGTAGTGTATAGTGTATAGTGTAGTGTATAGTGTAGTGTATAGTGTAGTGTATAGTGTAGTGTATAGTGTAGTGTGTAGTGTATAGTGTAGTGTATAGTGTGTAGTGTATAGTGTAGTGTAGTAGTGTAGTAGTGTAGTGTATAGTGTAGTGTATAGTGTAGTGTATAGTGTAGTGTATAGTGTAGTGTATATTGTGCAGCGTCTCGCCTGTCCGTGTCTCTGTCCCACCACGTAGTCTCCCTCGTATTTGTCTCCGTTGGGCAGCAGCGCACGGCCCTTGCCGTGTCTCTCTCCCAGGTCGTTACGGCCTCCCTCATATTCCTGCTCACACAGAGACACGGAGACACGGAGACACACACACAGAGACACGGAGTCACAGAGACACAGAGACACAGAGACAGAGAGACACAGACACACAGAGACACACACACAGAGACACACAGAGACACTCACAGAGACACAGACAGAGACACAGAGACACACAGACACACACAGAGACACACACAGAGACACACACAGAGACACACACACAGAGACACGGAGACACAGAGACACACACACAGAGACACGGAGACACAGAGACAGAGAGACACAGACACACAGAGACACACACACACAGAGACACAAAGACACACACAGAGACACTCATAGAGACACAGAGACACACACAGAGACACAGAGACACACACACATACACACACACAGAGACACAAAGACACACACAGAGACACACAGACACACACAGAGACACAGAGACACGGAGACACACACAGACACACAGAGACACACACACAGAGACACACACACAGAGACACACACACAGACACACACAGACACACACACAGAGACACACACAGAGACACAGAGACACACACACAGAGAGACAGAGACACAGAGATATACAGAGAGACACACACACAGATACACACAGACACACAGAGACACACACAGAGACACTCACAGACACACACAGAGACACACACAGAGACACTCACAGAGACACACACAGAGACACAGAGACACTCACAGAGACACACACAGAGACACAGAGACACACACACAGAGAGACAGAGACACACACAGAGAGACAGAGACACAGAGATATACAGAGAGACACACACACAGTGACACACAGTGACACACAGACACACAGAGACACACACAGAGACACACAAAGAGACATATGTAACAATATAGCATTTAAAAAAGCTACATTGTAACAATGTAACATTGCAACTAGTATAACTATTGCAAAGTTAACAATCGAAACGAGTTTAACGTCCTCATAGAAGTTTTAAAAAAATAAATAAATTTTTATTGTTACCCCAATGCTGGGGCCTAGCTCGGCGAACTCATCCTGCTCCTCGCCTGAGTCCGACATCTCACGCAGGCTGACGACTCGAGTTGAAGAGACGAGACAGACAGAGATAAGAGAGAGAGACAGACAGAGACAAGAGAGAGACAGGAGAGATAAGAGAGAGAAAGTTTAAGAGAGTTAAAGATTTTAATCACAGAGTAAGAGAGAGGGCGGCTGGTTCTAAAGCTTGGCCTCAGGTGGAGCGGTGTCGCTGTTGCCGTGGCAACGGGACGCGCCGGCTCGCTTCCATGGCAACGCCGGCTTCCGGTAGTTGAAGAATCTACCGGAAGAGGGGGTGATGAAGGGGGTTTATGAACGGGCGGTAGACGTCTTCCAGAAGACTCTTCCGGAATCTGTAGTATATTTAATGAACGGACGGTAGACATCTTCTAGAAGCGTCTTCCGGAATCTGTAGACGAATTAATGAACGGACGGTATACATCTTCTAGAAGCGTCTTCCGGAATCTGTAGAGGACTTAATGAACGGACGGTAGAGATCTTCCAGAAGCCTCTTCCGGAATCTGTAGAAGAATTAATGAACGGACGGTAGATATCTTCCAGAATTTTCTTCCGGAATATGTAGAGGGATTAATGAACAGACGGTAGACTTCTTCCAGAAGACTCTTCCGGAAGGAGTAGATGGGCTCTATGAACTGGGCGGTAGACGTCTTCCAGAAGCGAACTTACGGAATCGGTAGCGTAGTTTATGAACAGGCGGTAGAAATCCTCCAGAAGCGTCTTCCGGAACCTGTAGAGGAATTAATGAACGGACGGTAGAAATCTTCCAGAAGCGTCTTCGGAAATCTGTAGACGAATTAATGAACAGGCGGTAGACGTCTTCCAGAAGCGTCTTCCGGAAGTCACGACTGTAGACGTCTTCCGGAATGGGTAGAAGGGGGCTTTATGAACTGGGGGGCGGTAGGTCGTCTTCCAAAAGAGACTTCCGGAAGCAGTAGAGGAATAAATGAACGGACGGTAGACGTCTTCCAGAAGTCTCTTCCGGAAGCAGTAGATGATTTAATGTATAGACGGTAGACGTCTTCCAGAAGAGCCTTCCGGAATCTGTAGACGACTTAATGAACAGGCGGTAGACGTCTTCCAGAAGCGTCTTCCGGAAGTTACGACTGTAGACGTCTTCCGGAATGGGTAGAAGGGGGCTTTATGAACAGGGGGGGGCGGTAGGTCGTCTTCCAGAAGAGATCTTCCGGAAGCGGTAGAGGCGGGTTTACGAACGGGCGGCAGACGTCTTCCAGAAGTCTCTTCCGGAAGCAGTAGACGATTTAATGTATAGACGGTAGACGTCTTCCAGAAGAGTCTTCAGGAATCTGTAGAGGAATTAATGAACAGACGGTAGACGTCTTCCAGAAGCGTCTTCCGGAATCTGTAGACGACTTAACGAACGAACTTGAAAGATCTTCCAGAAGTCTCTTCCGGAAGCAGTTGACGACTTAATGAACGGACAGTAGACATCTTCCAGAAGCGTCTTCCGGAATCTGTAGACGACTTAATGAACAGGCGGTAGACGTCTTCCAGAAGCGTCTACCGGAATCTGTAGACGACTTAATGAACAGGCGGTAGACATCTTCCAGAAGCTTCTTCCGGAAGTCACGACTGTAGACGTCTTCCGGAATGGGTAGAAGGGGGCTTTATGAACGGGGGGGGCGGTAGGTCGTCTTCCAGAAGAGTCTTCCGGAAGCAGTAGAGGAATAAATGAACGGACGGTAGACGTCTTCCAGAAGTCTCTTCCGGAAGCAGTAGACGATTTAATGTATAGACGGTAGACGTCTTCCAGAAGAGTCTTCAGGAATCTGTAGAGGAATTAATGAACAGACGGTAGACGTCTTCCAGAAGCGTCTTCCGGAATCTGTAGACGACTTAACGAACGAACTTGAAAGATCTTCCAGAAGTCTCTTCCGGAAGCAGTTGACGACTTAATGAACGGACAGTAGACATCTTCCAGAAGCGTCTTCCGGAATCTGTAGACGACTTAATGAACAGGCGGTAGACGTCTTCCAGAAGCGTCTACCGGAATCTGTAGACGACTTAATGAACAGGCGGTAGACATCTTCCAGAAGCTTCTTCCGGAAGTCACGACTGTAGACGTCTTCCGGAATGGGTAGAAGGGGGCTTTATGAACGGGGGGGGCGGTAGGTCTTCTTCCAGAAGAGTTCTTCCGGAAGCGGTAGAGGCGGGTTTACGAACGGGCGGCAGACGTCTTACAGAAGTTTCTTCCGGAAGCAGTAGACGACTTAATGAACAGGCGGTAGCCATCTTCCAGAAGGGTCTTCCGGAATCTGTAGAGGAATTAATGAACGGGCGGTAGACGTCTTCCAGAAGCGTCTTCCGGAAGTCACGACTGTAGAAGTCTTCCGGAATGGGTAGAAGGGGGCTTTATGAACAGGGGGTGCGGTAGGTCGTCTTCCAGAAGAGTTCTTCCGGAAGCGGTAGAGGCGGGTTTACGAACGGGCGGCAGACGTCTTACAGAAGTTTCTTCCGGAAGCAGTAGACGACTTAATGAACAGGCGGTAGCCATCTTCCAGAAGCGTCTTCCGGAATCTGTAGACGACTTAATGAACAGGCGGTAGACGTCTTCCAGAAGCGTCTTCCGGAATCTGTAGACGACTTAATGAACGGACGGTAGACATCTTCCAGAAGCGTCTTCCGCAAGTCACGACAGTAGAAGTCTTCCGGAATGGGTAGAAGGGGGCTTTATGAACTGGGGGGGCTGTAGGTCGTCTTCCAGAAGAGTTCTTCCGGAAGCGGTAGAGGCGGGTTTACGAACGGGCGGCAGACGTCTTACAGAAGTTTCTTCCGGAAGCAGTAGACGACTTAATGAACAGGCGGTAGCCATCTTCCAGAAGGGTCTTCCGGAATCTGTAGAGGAATTAATGAACAGGCGGTAGACGTCTTCCAGAAGCGTCTTCCGGAATCTGTAGAGGAATTAATGAACGGGCGGTAGACGTCTTCCAGAAGCTTCTTCCGGAAGTCACGACTGTAGACGTCTTCCGGAATGGGTAGAAGGGGGCTTTATGAACGGGGGGTGCGGTAGGTCGTCTTCCAGAAGAGATCTTCCGGAAGCGGTAGAGGCGGGTTTACGAACGGGCGGCAGACGAGGCGTCCAGTAGAGGTGAAGATGGCGGCAGCGGCTCAGCGCGTGGCTGGAATCGTGGCGAAGAAAACCCCGCAGCTCGTAGCAGGTGGGGGGAGTAGTGGGGGGAGTAGTGGGGGGAGTAGTGGGGAGTAGTGGGGGGGAGTAGTGGGGGGGAGTGGTGGGGGGGAGTGGTGGGGGGGAGTGGTGGGGAGGAGTGGTGGGGTGGAGTGGTGGGGTGGAGTGGTGGGGAGAGTGGTGGGGAGAGTGGTGGGGAGAGTGGTGGGGGGAGAGTGGTGGGGAGAGTGGTGGGGGGAGAGTGGTGGGGGGAGTAGTGGTGGGGAGTAGTGGGGGGAGTAGTGGGGGGTGGAGTAGTGGGGAGAGTAGTGGGGAGAGTAGTGGGGAGAGTAGTGGTGGGGAGTAGTGGGGGGAGAGTAGTGGGGAGGAGTAGTGGGTAGAGTAGTGGTGGGGAGTAGTGGTGGGGAGTAGTGGGGGGAGTAGTGGGGGGTGGAGTAGTGGGGAGAGTAGTGGTGGGGAGTAGTGGGGGGAGTAGTGGGGGGAGTAGTGTGGGGGGAGTAGTGGTGGGGAGTAGTGTGGGGGGAGTAGTGGGGGGGAGAGAAGTGGGGGGGAGAGAAGTGGGGGGGGAGAGTAGTGGGGGGGAGAGTAGTGGGGGGGGAGAGTAGTGGGGGGGGGAGAGTAGTGGGGGGGAGTAGTGGGGGGGAGACACACAGTGTCACACACACACAGTGACACACACAGTGACACACACACAGTGACACACACACAGTGACACACACACAGTGACACACACACACAGTGACACACACACACAGTGACACACACACAGTGACACACACACACACAGTGTCACACACAGTGACACACACACAGTGTCACACACATATAGTGACACACACACAGTGACACACACACAGTGACACACACACAGTGACACACACACAGTGACACACACACAGTGACACACACACACAGTGACACACACACAGTGACACACACACAGTGACACACACACAGTGACACACACACACAGTGACACACACACAGTGACACACACACACAGTGACACACACACAGTAACACACACACACAGTGACACACACACAGTGACACACACAGTGACACACACAGACAGTGACACACACACAGTGACACACACACAGTGACACACACACAATGACACACACACAGTGACACACACACAGTGACACACACACAGTGACACACACACAGTGTCACACACACAATGACACACACACAGTGTCACACACACAATGACACACACACAGTGACACACACACAGTGTCACACACACAATGACACACACACAGTGTCACACACACAATGACACACACACAGTGACACACACACAATGACACACACACAGTGACACACACACAGTGACACACACACAGTGTCACACACACAATGACACACACACAGTGTCACACACACAATGACACACACACAGTGACACACACACAGTGTCACACACACAATGACACACACACAGTGTCACACACACAATGACACACACACAGTGACACACACACAGTGACACACACACACAGTGACACACACACAGTGACACACACACAATGACACACACACAGTGACACACACACAGTGTCACACACACACACACAGTAACACACACACAGTAACACACACACAGTAACACACACACAGTGACACGCACAGTGACACACACAATGACACACACACAGTGTCACACACACAATGACACACACACAGTGACACACACACAGTGACACACACACACAGTGACACACACACAGTGACACACACACAATGACACACACACAGTGACACACACACAGTGTCACACACACACACACAGTAACACACACACAGTAACACACACACAGTAACACACACACAGTGACACGCACAGTGACACACACAATGACACACACACAAGGTTGTTCAAAGTGACATTGGTGTCGGTGGTGATGGTGTGGGTTTGATGGTGGTGGTGATGGTGGCTGTGTGATGGTGGTGATTGTGGTGGTGATGGTGGTGATGGTGGTGGTGATAATGGTGGTGATGGTGATGATGGTGGTGGTGATGGTGGTGGTGGTGGTGATGATGGTGGTGGTGGTGATGGTGGTGGTGATGGTGGTGGTGATGGTGATGATGGTGGTGGTGGTGATGGTGGTGGTGATGGTGGTGGTGATGGTGATGATGGTGGTGGTGATGGTGGTGGTGGTGATGGTGGTGGTGGTGATGATGGTGGTGATGGTGGTGGTGATGGTGGTGGTGGTGATGGTGGTGGTGGTGATAATGGTGGTGATGGTGGTGGTGATGATGGTGGTGGTGATGGTGGTGGTGATGGTGGTGGTGATGGTGGTGATGGTGGTGGTGGTGGTGATGGTGGTGGTGATGGTGGTGGTGGTGATAATGGTGGTGATGGTGGTGGTGATGATGATGGTGATGGTGGTGATGATGGTGGTGATAATGGTGGTGATGATGATGGTGGTGATGATGGTGGTGATAATGGTGGTGATGGTGGTGGTGATGGTGGTGATGATGGTGGTGGTGGTGATGGTGGTGATGATGATGGTGATGATGGTGATGATGGTGATGGTGATGATGGTGATGGTGGTGATGGTGATGATGGTGATGGTGGTGATGGTGATGATGGTGATGATGGTGATGGTGGTGATGATGGTGGTGATAATGGTGGTGATGATGGTGGTGATAATGGTGGTGATGGTGGTGGTGATGGTGATGATGATGGTGGTGATGGTGATGGTGGTGGTGATGGTGGTGGTGATGGTGGTGGTGATGGTGGTGATGATGATGATGGTGATGATGATGATGGTGGTGATGGTGGTGATGATGATGGTGGTGATGATGGTGATGATGGTGGTGATGGTGGTGATGATGGTGATGTAGGTGGTGATGATGGTGGTGATGATGGTGGTGATGATGATGGTGGTGATGGTGGTGATGATGGTGGTGGTGATAATGGTGGTGATGGTGATGATGATGGTGGTGATGGTGATGATGATGGTGGTGGTGATGGTGGTGGTGATGGTGGTGGTGATGGTGGTGGTGATGGTGGTGATGATGGTGGTGGTGATGATGGTGGTGATGGTGATGATGATGGTGGTGATGGTGGTGATGATGGTGGTGGTGGTGGTGATGGTGGTGATGGTGGTGGTGATGGTAGTGATGGTGGTGATGATGATGGTGATGATGATGATGGTGGTGATGGTGGTGATGATGGCTGGGTGATGATGGTGGTGGTGATGGTGGTGATGGTGGTGATGGTGGTGATGATGATGGTGGTGATGGTGGTGATGATGGTGATGTAGGTGGTGATGATGGTGATGATGATGATGGTGGTGATGGTGGTGATGATGATGATGGTGGTGATGGTGGTGATGGTGGTGATGATGGTGGTGATGGTGGTGATGATGGTGGTGATGGTGGTGATGGTGGTGATGATGGTGATGTAGGTGGTGATGATGGTGGTGATGATGGTGGTGATGGTGGTGATGATGATGGTGGTGATGGTGGTGATGATGATGGTGGTGATGGTGGTGATGGTGGTGGTGATGGTGGTGATGGTGGTGATGATGATGGTGGTGATGGTGGTGATGATGATGGTGGTGATGATGGTGATGGTGGTGATGGTGGTGATGGTGGTGGTGATGGTGGTGATGGTGGTGATGATGATGGTGGTGATGGTGATGATGGTGGTGATGGTGGTGATGATGATGGTGGTGGTGATGGTGGTGATGATGATGGTGATGGTGGTGGTGATGGTGGTGATGATGGTGGTGGTGGTGATGGTGGTGGTGGTGATGGTGGTGATGGTGGTGATGGTGGTGGTGATGATGGTGGTGATGGTGATGATGGTGGTGATGGTGGTGATGATGGTGGTGATGATGGTGGTGATGGTGGTGGTGGTGATGATGATGGTGGTGGTGATGGTGGTGATGATGATGGTGATGATGGTGGTGATGGTGGTGATGATGGTGGTGGTGGTGATGGTGGTGGTGGTGATGGTGGTGATGGTGATGATGGTTGTGTGTGATGATGGTGGTGGCTGTTGGGCCGAGCTACGGAAGCCGCCCGTGGAGGCGGCCGAAACGCGTTTCGTAAATTTGCGACCTTCACTCGCGCGCTCGCACTGTACCGCGTGCACTGTACCACGTGCACTGTCCAGAGGACTCGATGCGGTACACACAGCTGCGTACAGTGCGTACTGTATGCAGCCGTGTGTACTGTACGGCGCTGTGCACACCGCTCTTAATTTACACTTTTATTATTTTTTATTTTCACTGTGGGTTTGAATTGCTTTTTTTATGATAAAATTTTATTTTACTATTTAATTTTCAGTATTTTTTTCAACGTATTTTTTATTATAATTTTTGTTTATTTTACAATGTATTTATTTTCAGTCTTTTATTTATTTATTTTCAACGTATTATTTTTTATTATATATATTTTTTATTTTACTATGTACTTATTTTCATTGTTTTATTTTATTATTTTCAACGTATTATTTTTTATTATAAAAAATTATTTTACTGCACCATAGACTCAACACTGCCCCATAGACTCAACACTGCCACTCATAGACTCAACACTGCACCATAGACTCAACACTGCACCATAGACTCAACACTGCCACCCATAGACTCAACACTGCACCATAGACTCAACACTGCACCATAGACTCAACACTGCCACCCATAGACTCAACACTGCCACTCATAGACTCAACACTGCACCATAGACTCAGCACTGCCACCCATAGACTCAACACTGCACCATAGACTCAGCACTGCCACCCATAGACTCAACACTGCACCATAGACTCAACACTGCACCATAGACTCAACACTGCACCATAGACTCAACACTGCCACCCATAGACTCAACACTGCCACCCATAGACTCAACACTGCCACTCATAGACTCAACACTGCACCATAGACTCAACACTGCCACCCATAGACTCAACACTGCCACTCATAGACTCAACACTGCACCATAGACTCAGCACTGCACCATAGACTCAACACTGCCCCATAGACTCAACACTGCCACCCACAGACTCAACACTGCACCATAGACTCAACACTGCCACCCATAGACTCAACACTACCCCATAGACTCAACACTGCACCACAGACTCAACACTGCCACCCATAGACTCAACACTGCACCATAGACTCAACACTGCCACCCATAGACTCAACACTGCCCATAGACTCAACACTGCACCGTAGACTCAACACTGCCACCCATAGACTCAACACTGCACCATAGACTCAACACTGCACCATAGACTCAACACTGCCACCCATAGACTCAACACTGCCACCCATAGACTCAACACTGCCCATAGACTCAACACCACCCATAGACTCAACACTGCACCATAGACTCAACACTGCCACCCATAGACTCAACACTGCCACCCATAGACTCAACACTGCACCATAGACTCAACACTGCCACCCATAGACTCAACACTGCACCATAGACTCAACACTGCACCATAGACTCAACACCACCCATAGACTCAACACTGCACCATAGACTCAACACTGCCACCCATAGACTCAACACTGCCACCCATAGACTCAACACTGCACCATAGACTCAACACTGCCACCCATAGACTCAACACTGCCACCCATAGACTCAGCACTGCACCATAGACTCAACACTGCACCATAGACTCAACACTGCCCCATAGACTCAACACTGCCACCCATAGACTCAACACTGCACCATAGACTCAACACTGCCACCCATAGACTCAACACTGCACCATAGACTCAACACTGCCACCCATAGACTCAACACCACCCATAGACTCAACACTGCACCACAGACTCAACACTGCACCATAGACTCAACACTCCTACCCATAGACTCAACACTGCCACCCATAGACTCAACGCTGTACCATAGACTCGACACTGCCACCCATAGACTCAACACTACCACCCATAGACTCAACACTGCACCATAGACTCAACACTGCCACCCATAGACTCAACACTGCCACCCATAGACTCAACACTGCCACCCATAGACTCAACATTGCACCATAGACTCAACACTGCCACTCATAGACTCAACACTGCACCATAGACTCAACACTGCCACCCATAGACTCAGCACTGCCACCCATAGACTCAACACTGCCACCCATAGACTCAACACTGCACCATAGACTCAACACTGCACCATAGACTCAGCACTGCACCATAGACTCAGCACTGCCACCCATAGACTCAACACTGCCACCCATAGACTCAACACTGCACCATAGACTCAACACTGCCACTCATAGACTCAACACTGCACCATAGACTCAACACTGCACCATAGACTCAACACTGCCACCCATAGACTCAACACTGCACCATAGACTCAACACTGCCACCCATAGACTCAGCACTGCCACCCATAGACTCAACACTGCACCATAGACTCAACACTGCTACCCATAGACTCAACACTGCACCATAGACTCAACACTGCACCATAGACTCAACACTGCCACCCATAGACTCAACACTGCCACCCATAGACTCAACACTGCCACCCATAGACTCAACACTGCACCATAGACTCAACACTGCCACCCATAGACTCAACACTGCACCATAGACTCAACACTGCACCATAGACTCAACACTGCCACCCATAGACTCAACACTGCACCATAGACTCAACACCACCCATAGACTCAACACTGCCACCCATAGACTCAACACTGCACCATAGACTCAACACTGCACCATAGACTCAACACTGCACCATAGACTCAACACTGCACCATAGACTCAACACTGCCACCCATAGACTCAACACTGCCACCCACAGACTCAGCACTGCCACCCACAGACTCAACACTACACCATAGACTCAACACTACCACCCATAGACTCAACACTGCACCATAGACTCAACACTGCCACCCATAGACTCAGCACTGCACCATAGACTCAACACTGCCACCCATAGACTCAACACTGCCACCCATAGACTCTACACTGCACCATAGACTCAACACTGCACCATAGACTCAACACTGCCACTCATAGACTCAACACTGCACCATAGACTCAGCACTGCACCATAGACTCAACACTGCCACCCATAGACTCAACACTGCACCATAGACTCAACACTGCCACTCATAGACTCAACACTGCACCATAGACTCAACACTACCCCATAGACTCAACACTGCCACCCATAGACTCAACACCACCCATAGACTCAACACTGCACCATAGACTCAACACTGCCACCCATAGACTCAACACTGCACCATAGACTCAACACTGCCACCCACAGACTCAACACTGCCACCCACAGACTCAACACTGCCCCATAGACTCAACACTGCACCATAGACTCAACACTGCACCATAGACTCAACACTACCACCCATAGACTCAACACTGCACCATAGACTCAACACCACCCATAGACTCAACACTGCCACCCATAGACTCAACACTGCACCATAGACTCAACACTGCCACCCACAGACTCAACACTACCACCCATAGACTCAACACTGCCACCCATAGACTCAACACTGCACCATAGACTCAACACTGCACCATAGACTCAACACTGCACCATAGACTCAACACTACCCCATAGACTCAACACTGCACCATAGACTCAACACTGCCACCCATAGACTCAACACTGCCACCCATAGACTCAACACTGCACCACAGACTCAACACTGCCACCCATAGACTCAACACTGCCCCATAGACTCAGCACTGCACCATAGACTCAACACTGCCCCATAGACTCAACACTGCCACCCATAGACTCAACACTGCACCATAGACTCAACACTGCACCATAGACTCAACACTGCACCATAGACTCAACACTGCCCATAGAGTCAACACTGCCACCATAGACTCAACACTGCACCATAGACTCAACACTGCACCATAGACTCAACACTGCCACCATAGACTCAACACTGCACCATAGACTCAACACTGCACCATAGACTCAACACTGCCACCCATAGACTCAACACCACCCATAGACTCAACACTGCACCATAGACTCAACACTGCCACCCATAGACTCAACACTGCCACCCATAGACTCAACACTGCACCATAGACTCAACACTGCCACCCATAGACTCAACACTGCACCATAGACTCAACACTGCACCATAGACTCAACACTGCCACCCATAGACTCAACACTGCCACCCATAGACTCAACACTGCACCATAGACTCAACACTGCCACCCATAGACTCAACACTGCACCATAGACTCAACACTGCCACCCATAGACTCAACACTGCACCATAGACTCAACACTGCCACTCATAGACTCAACACTGCACCATAGACTCAACACTACCACCCATAGACTCAACACTGCCACCCATAGACTCAACACTGCCACCCATAGACTCAACACTGCACCATAGACTCAACACTGCACCATAGACTCAACACTGCACCATAGACTCAACACTGCCACCCATAGACTCAACACTGCCACCCATAGACTCAACACTGCACCATAGACTCAACACTGCACCATAGACTCAACACTGCACCATAGACTCAACACTGCCCATAGAGTCAACACTGCCACCATAGACTCAACACTGCACCATAGACTCAACACTGCCCATAGACTCAACACTGCACCATAGACTCAACACTGCCACCCATAGACTCAACACTGCCACCCATAGACTCAACACTGCCACCCATAGACTCAACACTGCCCATAGAGTCAACACTGCCACCATAGACTCAACACTGCACCATAGACTCAACACCACCCATAGACTCAACACTGCCACCCATAGACTCAACACTGCCACCCATAGACTCAACACCACCCATAGACTCAACACTACCACCCATAGACTCAACACTGCCACCCACAGACTCAACACTGCCACCCACAGACTCAGCACTGCCACCCACAGACTCAACACTGCCACCCATAGACTCAACACTGCCACCCATAGACTCAACACTGCCCATAGAGTCAACACTGCCACCATAGACTCAACACTGCACCATAGACTCAACACCACCCATAGACTCAACACTGCCACCCATAGACTCAACACTGCCACCCATAGACTCAACACCACCCATAGACTCAACACTACCACCCATAGACTCAACACTGCCACCCACAGACTCAACACTGCCACCCACAGACTCATCTCTGCTCACTGAGGCTTGCATTTTGCGTGTCACCTCCCCGTTCCACTCCTCCACCGACCCTCCCCACACAGCGGCCGTGGAATTCTCCCGGCCACGACTCTCCAAGTTCTGGTCGCTGGCCAAGGTGGAGCTGGTCCCACCCAGCCCGGCGGAGATTCCTCGAGCTGTCGAGGCCTTCAAGGCGATGGTGGAGAGGTCCAGACGGGGTGGCGTGGGAAACCTCACCGTCAGGGTGAGTGGTCACGGTGTGACTGTGTCTGTGTGTGACTGTGTGTGTGTCTGTCTGTGTGTCTGTGTGACTGTGTGTCTGTGTGTGTGTAAGTGACTGTGTGTGTGTCTGTGTGACGGTGTGTCTGTGTGTGTGACTGTGTGTGTGTCTGTGTGACTGTGTGTCTGTGTGTGTGTGTGTAACTGTGTGTGTGTAACTGTGTGTGTCACTGTGTGTCACTGTGTGTGTAACTGTGTGTCACTGTGTGTGTAACTGTGTGTGTAACTGTGTGTGTAACTGTGTGTGTGTCTGTGTGTGTGTGTGACTGTGTGTGTGTGTCTGTGTGACTGTGTGTCTGTGTGACGGTGTGTCTGTGTGTGTGACGGTGTGTCTGTGTGTGTGACGGTGTGTCTGTGTGTGTGTGACGGTGTGTCTGTATGTGTGTGACTGTGTGTTACTGTGTGTGTGTGTTACTGTGTGTGTGACTGTGTGTGTGTGTTACTGTGTGTGACTGTGTGTGTGTGTTACTGTGTGTGACTGTGTGTGTGTGTTACTGTGTGTGTGTAACTGTGTGTGTGTGTCTGTAACTGTGTGTGTCTAACTGTGTGTGTCTAACTGTGTGTGTGTGTGTAACTGTGTGTGTGTTTGTGTGTAACTGTGTGTGTAACTGTGTGTGTAACTGTGTATGTATGTAACTGTGTGTGTGTCTGTGTGTGTGTATAACTGTGTGTGTGTGTGTGTATATAACTGTGTGTGTGTGTGTATATAACTGTGTGTGTGTGTGTGTATATAACTGTGTGTGTGTGTGTATATAACTGTGTGTGTGTGTGTATATAACTGTGTGTGTGTGTGTATATAACTGCGTGTGTGTGTGTGTGTATATAACTGTGTGTGTGTGTGTGTATATATAACTGTGTGTGTGTGTGTATATATAACTGTGTGTGTGTGTATAACTGTGTGTGTGTGTATAACTGTGTGTGTGTGTATAACTGTGTGTGTGTGTGTATAACTGTGTGTGTGTGTGTGTAACTGTGTGTGTGTAACTGTGTGTGTGTGTGTAACTGTGTGTAACTGTGTGTGTGTGTATGTGTAACTGTGTGTAACTGTGTGTGTGTGTAACTGTGTGTAACTGTGTGTGTGTGTATGTGTAACTGTGTGTAACTGTGTGTGTGTGTAACTGTGTGTAACTGTGTGTGTGTGTGTAACTGTGTGTAACTGTGTGTGTATGTAACTGTGTGTATATAACTGCGTGTGTAACTGTGTGTAACTGTGTGTGTAACTGTGTAACTGTGTGTAACTGTGTGTAACTGTGTGTGTATGTGTAACTGTGTGTGTATGTGTAACTGTGTGTCTGTGTGTAACTGTGTGTAACTGTGTGTCTGTGTGTAACTGTGTGTAACTGTGTGTAACTGTGTGTCTGTGTGTAACTGTGTGTGTCTGTGTATAACTGTGTGTGTCTGTGTATATAATTGTGTATATAACTGTGTGTGTATAACTGTGTATATAACTGTGTGTGTATAACTGTGTATAACTGTGTGTATAACTCTGTGTGTATATAACTGTGTATATAACTGTGTGTGTATAACTGTGTATATAACTGTGTGTGTATAACTGTGTATATAACTGTATGTATAACTCTGTGTGTATATAACTATGCATGTGTGTGTATAACTGTGTATATAACTGTGTGTGTGTGTAACTCTGTGTGTAACTGTGTGTGTGTCTGTGTGTAACTGTGTATATAACTGTGTATATAACTGTATATATAACTGTGTAACTGTATAACTGTATGTATAACTGTATATAACTGTGTGTGTAACTGTGTGTGTATATAACTGTGTGTATATAACTATATGTATGTATAACTGCGTGTATAACTCTGTGTAACTGTCTGTGTGTTACTGTCTGTGTGTTACTGTCTGTGTGTAACTGTGTATAACTGTGTGTATATAACTGTATGTGTAACTGTGTGTGTATATAACTGTGTGTATAACTGTGTGTAACTGTGTGTAACTATATGTATATATAACTGTGTGTCTGTGTGTAACTCTGTATAACTGTGTATATAACTGTGTGTGTGTGTGTATATAACTGTATATAACTCTGTGTGTGTATATAACTCTGTGTAACTCTGTGTGTGTGTATATATAACTGTATATAACTCTGTGTGTGTATATAACTCTGTGTAACTGTGTGTGTGTGTGTATATAACTGTATATAACTCTGTGTGTGTATATAACTCTGTGTAACTCTGTGTGTGTGTATATAACTGTATATAACTCTGTGTGTATAACTGTGTGTATATAACTGTATGTATAACTGTGTGTAACTGTGTGTCTGTGTATGTATAACTGTGTATATAACTGTGTGTATGTATAACTGTGTATGTGTAACTGTGTAACTGTGTATATAACTGTATGTATATAACTGTGTGTATAACTGTGTGTAACTATATGTATATATAACTGTGTGTCTGTGTGTAACTCTGTATAACTGTGTATATAACTGTGTGTGTGTGTATATAACTGTATATAACTCTGTGTGTATAACTGTGTGTATATAACTGTATGTATAACTGTGTGTAACTGTGTGTAACTGTGTGTGTGTCTGTGTATGTATAACTGTGTATATAACTGTGTGTATGTATAACTGTGTATGTGTAACTGTATAACTGTGTATATAACTATATAACTCTGTATAACTGTGTGTGTAACTCTGTGTGTGTGTGTGTAACAGGAGGCTCTGCGCAACTCCCTGGTGGGCGTTGAGATCGCGATGTGGTTCTACGTTGGGGAGGTCATCGGCAGACGCAGCCTCATAGGATACAACGTCTAGACACCCGTCTAGACAGCCCACATAGACGTCTAGACGTCTAGACAGCAAGTCTAGACACCCCTCATAGACGTCTAGACACCCCTCATAGACGTCTAGACACCCCTCGTAGACACCCGTCTAGACACACGTCTAGACGTCTAGACGGGGTGTCTAGACGTTTATGAGGGGTGTCTAGACGTCTAGACACCCCTCATAGACGTCTAGACAGGGTGTCTAGACGTCTAGACGGGGTCTAGACACCCCGTCTAGACGTCTAGACACCCCGTCTAGACGTCTAGACACACAGCCTCATCATCTCTCTCCCTGTGTCTCTGTCTCTCTCTGTTCTGTCTCTCTGTTCTGTCTCTCTGTTCTGTCTCTCTCTGTCTCCGTGTCTCTCTATCTGTCTCTCTCACTCTGTACTGTCTCTCTCTGTCTCTCTGTTCTGTCTCTCTCTCTGTCTCCGTGTCTCTCTATCTGTCTCTCTCACTCTGTTATGTCTCTCTGTTCTGTCTCTCTGTCTCTCTCCCTGTCTCTCTGTCTCTCACTCTCTCTCTGTCTGTCTCTTTCCCTGTGTCTCTGTCTCTCTGTCTGTGTCTCTCTGTCTGTGTCTCTCTGTCTCTCTCCCTGTCTCTCTGTCTCTCACTCTGTCTCTCTGTGTCTGTGTCTCTCTCCCTGTGTCTCTGTCTCTCTGTCTCTGTCTGCTCATCATCCCCCGGTGCCACTGTGTGTCTCTCCCTGTGTCTCTGTCTCTCACTCTGTGTCTCTGTCTCTCACTCTGTCTCTCTGTGTCTGTGTCTCTCTCCCTGTGTCTCTGTCTCTCTCTCTGTCTCTCTCCCTGTCTCTCTGTCTCTCACTCTGTCTCTCTCTGTCTCTGTCTCTCTCCCTGTCTCTCTGTCTCTCTGTCTGTGTCTCTGTCTGCTCATCATCCCCCGGTGCCACTGTGTGTCTCTCCCTGTGTCTCTCTCTCTGTGTCTCTCTGTCTGTGTCTCTCTCCCTGTGTCTCTGTGTCTCTGTCTGTGTCTCTGTCTGTGTCTCCTCATCATCCCCCGGTGCCACTGTGCGTCTCTCCGCGCTCAACTCTAGCGATGAATAAATACAACTTCGCTTCTCACTATCTGTCTCACTCCGTGTCTACCTCATTGTGACGCAGACACTCACAGAGACACTCACAGAGACACTCACAGAGACACTCACAGAGACACAGAGACACTCACAGAGACACTCACAGAGACACACACAGAGACAGTCACAGAGACAGTCACAGAGACACACACAGACACACACGGAGACACTCACAGAGACACTCACAGAGACACACACAGAGACACACAGACACTCACACAGAGACACACAGAGACAGTCAGACACTCACAGAGACACACACAGAGACTCAGAGACACACAGAGACACTCACAGAGACACACACAGAGACACTCACAGACTCAGAGACACTCACAGAGACACACAGACACACACACACAGAGACACACACAGAGACACACACACAGAGAGACACACAGAGACACACACAGAGACACACACAGAGACACACAGAGACACACAGACACACACAGACACACACACAAAGACACACAGACAGAGACACACACACAGAGACACAGACACACACACAGAGAGACACACACAGAGACACAGACACACAGAGACACACAGAGACAGACACACACACAGAGACACACACAGACACACAGAGAGACACACACAGAGACACAGACACACAGAGACACACACAGACAGACAGACACACACACAGAGACACACACACAGACACAGACACACACAGAGACACACACACACAGAGACACACACAGAGACACACAGACACACACAGACAGAGACACACACAGACACACACAGACACACACACACAGACACACACACAGAGACTCACAGAGACACACACACAGACACACAGAGACACACACACAGACACACACAGACACACAGAGACACACACAGACACACACAGAGACTCACAGAGACTCACACACACAGACACACACAGACACACAGACACACAGAGACTCAGAGACTCACACACAGACACACAGAGACACACACACAGAGACACACACAGACACACAGAGACACAGACACACAAAGACACACAGAGACACAGAGACTCACACAGAGACACAGACACACACAGAGACATGCAGACACACACACACAGACACACACAGACACACACAGAGACACACAGAGACACACACACACACAGAGACACACATCGTGAGTTAATTCGTCATCCCTCACACACAGACTCACACAGACACACACAGAGACACACAGACACACACACAGACACACACAGAGACACACAGACACACACACAGAGACACAGACACACAAAGAGAGACAGAGACACACAGACAGACACTTACACATCGTGAGTTAATTCTTCATCCCTGGCCCTCAAGATCGCGGGAAGCACACGTGGGTACAGGTTTTGACTTTATTCAATCACGTGGTAACATTCACACGAATGACGTCACGCGCCTAGGGTGAGAGGGGGGGGTCAGACACTTGTGACGCGGTGTGACGCGAGGGGGGGGGGTGGGAGACGTGACGTCACATCAGAATTGCAGCAACTTTTATTAAATTCGGGTTAACGCGTTCTAACTTAATCAAATAGACTTTTTTATTCTTAGCTCTTTCGGTAAAGTCACCACGTTGAAGGGAAACAATAAAATAATAAAATATTTATAAAACAATAAATAAAAATTCTGACGGCGTTTCGACCATAACACAAACGGTCGTCATCAGGTGTGGGGGAGGAGTCTAAGGGTGTGGGAGGAGTCTTAACTGGTGGGGGAGGAGTCTACGGTTGGGGGAGGAGTCTACACGTGGGGGAGGAGTCTACGCGTGGGGGAGGAGTCTTAACTGGTGTGGGAGTAGTCTCACTGGTGGGGGAGGAGTCTACACGTAGGGGAGGAGTCTAACTGGTGGGGGAGGAGTCTAACTGGTGGGGGAGGAGTCTAACTGGTGGGGGAGGAGGCGTCTACTGGTGGGAGAGGAGTCTAAGGGTGGGGGAGTAGTCTCACTGGTGGGGGAGGAGTCTACAGGTGGGGGAGGAGTCTACACGTGGGGGAGGAGTCTACGCGTGGGGGAGGAGGCGTCTACGGGTGGGGGAGGAGTCTACGGGTGGGGGAGGAGTCTACGGGTGGGGGAGGAGTCTAATTGGTGGGGGAGGAGTCTCACTGGTGGGGGAGGAGTCTACGGGTGGGGGAGGAGTCTACACGTGGGGGAGGAGTCTACGCGTGGGGGAGGAGGAGTCTAACTGGTGGGGGAGGAGGCGTCTACTGGTGGGAGAGGAGTCTAACTGGTGAGGGAGGAGTCTAACTGGTGGAGGAGGAGTCTACTGGTGGGAGAGGAGTCTAAGGGTGGGGGAGGAGTCTACGCGTGGGGGAGGAGTCTACACGTGGGGGAGGAGTCTACGCGTGGGGGAGGAGTCTAACTGGTGTGGGAGTAGTCTCACTGGTGGGGGAGGAGTCTACGCGTGGGGGAGGAGTCTACGCGTGGGGGAGGAGTCTAACTGGTGTGGGAGTAGTCTCACTGGTGGGGGAGGAGTCTACACGTGGGGGAGGAGTCTACGCGTGGGGGAGGAGTCTAACTGGTGGGGGAGGAGGCGTCTACTGGTGGGAGAGGAGTCTAAGGGTGGGGGAGTAGTCTCACTGGTGGGGGAGGAGTCTACAGGTGGGGGAGGAGTCTACACGTGGGGGAGGAGTCTACACGTGGGGGAGGAGTCTACGCGTGGGGGAGGAGGCGTCTACGGGTGGGGGAGGAGTCTACGGGTGGGGGAGGAGTCTACGGGTGGGGGAGGAGTCTAATTGGTGGGGGAGGAGTCTAACTGGTGGGGGAGGAGTCTACGGGTGGGGGAGGAGTCTACACGTGGGGGAGGAGCCTACGCGTGGGGGAGGAGTCTAACTGGTGGGGGAGGAGTCTACGGGTGGGGGAGGAGTCTACACGTGGGGGAGGAGCCTACGCGTGGGGGAGGAGGAGTCTAACTGGTGGGGGAGGAGGCGTCTACTGGTGGGGGAGGAGTCTACGGGTGTGGGAGGAGGAGTCTAAGGGTGGGGGAGAAGTCTAAGGGTGGGGGAGGAGTCTAACTGGTGGGGGAGGTGTCTACTGGTGGGAGAGGAGTCTAAGGGTGGGGGAGGAGTCTACGGGTGGGGGAGGAGTCTACACGTGGGGAGGAGTCTACGCGTGGGGGAGGAGGAGTCTAACTGGTGTGGGAGTAGTCTCACTGGTGGGGGAGGAGTCTACGCGTGGGGGAGGAGGAGTCTAACTGGTGGGGGAGGAGGAGTCAACTAGTGGGGGAGGAGTCTAAGGGTGGGGGAGGAGTCTACTGGTGGAGGCGGAGTCAACGTAGACTCCTCCCCCACACGTGATGATGACAGTTTGTGTTACGGTCGAAACGTCGTGAGAATTTTTTTTATTGTTTTATATATATTTTATTATTTTATTGTTTCCCTTCAACGTGACTTTACCGAAAGAACTAAGAATATGAATTACTGCAGTCACGAAAGCTTTAAATCAAAATAAAATTATTGTAAAACAATAAAATTATTATTCTTGGTTCTTCCGGTTAAAGTCACCACCACGTAGATAGGGAAACAATAAAATAATAAAAATATAAAACAATAAAATTATTGTAAAACAATAAAATTATTATTCTTGGTTCTTTCGGTTAAAGTCACCGCCACGTAGATAGAGAAACAATAAAAATAATAAAAAATTATAAAACAATACAATTATCACGACGTTACATTGGAGAAACCAAACGCCATGTCTCGGACCGCATCCGTGAACACAAAGCAGACCTTAAACACGGTAGGACCAACACCTCGGCCGTAGCAGATCATTGTTATAATTCAGTAGGCTCACATGCCATTGACTTCTTCAAGACAGAGGTTCTTTGTAAGCCATCTGGCTACCATGAGAGATTCGTTCATGAGGCTATCCACATATACAAGCACAGAGACAATTTCATCTGAGAAGATGGATTCTGGGCTTAGCAATCATTGGAAGGATTTGATCAACCATTTCGGGGTCTTAATTGATTGTTCACGCTTATGGTTACCATGAGAGATTCGTTCATGAGGCTATCCACATATACAAAACACGGAGAGAATTTCAACCGAGGAGATGGATTCTGGGCTTAGCAATCATTGGAAGGATTTCATTAAACCATTTCGGGTCTTAATTGATTGTTCACGCTTACGGTTACCATAAGAGATTCGTTCATGAGGCTATCCACAAATACAAACACGGAGACAATTTCAACCGAGAAGATGGATTTTGGGCTTAGCAATCATTGGAAGGATTTGATAAACCATTTTGGGTCTTAATTGATTGTTCACGCTTACGGTTACCATGAGAGATTCGTTCATGAGGCTATCCACAAATACAAACACGTAAACAATTTCAACCGAGAAGATGGATTTTGGGCTTAGCAATCATTGGAAGGATTTGATAAACCATTTCGGGTCTTTATTGATTGTTCACGCTTACGGTTACCATGAGAGATTCGTTCATGAGGCTATCCACATATACAAACACAGAGACAATTTCATCTGAGAAGATGGATTCTGGGCTTAGCAATCATTGGAAGGATTTAATAAACCATTTGGGGTCTAAATTGATTGTTCACGCTTACGGTTACCATGAGAGATTCGTTCATGAGGCTATCCACATATACAAAACACGGAGAGAATTTCAACCGAGAAGATGGATTCTGGGCCTAGCAATCATTGGAAGGATTTGATCAACCATTTGGGGTCTTAATTGATTGTTCACGCTTACGGTTACCATGAGAGATTCGTTCACGAGGCTATCCACATATACAAACATGGAGACATTTTCAACCAAGAAGATGGATTCTGGGCTTAGCAATCATTGGAAGGATTTCATAAAACCATTTCGGGTCTTAATTGATTGTTCACGCTTACGGTTACCATAAGAGATTCGTTCATGAGGCTATCCACAAATACAAACACGGAGACAATTTCAACCGAGAAGATGGATTCTGGGCTTAGCAATCATTGGAAGGATTTGATAAACCATTTCGGGTCTTAATTGAGTGTTCACGCTTACGGTTACCATGAGAGATTCGTTCATGAGGCTATCCACATATACAAACACGGACACAATTTCAACCGAGAAGATGGATTCTGGGCTTAGCAATCATTGGAAGGATTTGATCAACCATTTCGGGGCCTTAAATGATTGTTCACGCTTACGGTTACCATGAGAAATTCGTTCATGAGGCTATTCACATATACAAACACGGAGGCAATTTCAACTGAGAAGATGGATTTTGGGCTTAGCAATCATTGGAAGGATTTGATCAACCATTTGGGGTCTTAATTGATTGTTCACGCTTACGGTTACCATGATAGATTCGTTCATGAGGCTATCCACGTATACAAACACGAAGACAATTTCAACTGAGAAGATGGATTCTGGGCTTAGCAATCATTGGAAGGATTTGATAAACCATTTCGGGTCTTAATGGATTCTTCACGCTTACGGTTAGCATGAGAGATTCATTCATGAGGCTATCCACATATACAAAACACGGAGACAATTTCAACCAAGAAGATGGATTCTGGGCTTAGCAATCATTGGAAGGATTTAATAAACCATTTGGGGTCTAAATTGATTGTTCACGCTTACGGTTACCATGAGAGATTCGTTCATGAGGCTATCCACATATACAAACACGGAGAGAATTTCAACCGAGGAGATGGATTCTGGGCTTAGCAATCATTGGAAGGATTTCATAAACCATTTCGGGTCTTAATTGATTGTTCATGCTTATGGTTACCATGAGAGATTCGTTCTTGAGGCTATGCACATATACAAACACGGAGGCAATTTCAACTGAGAAGATGGATTCTGGGATGAGCAATCATTGGAAGGATTTCATAAAACCAATTCAGGTCTTAATTGATTGTTCACGCTTACGGTGGCTTTCAGACCGCATCCATTATTTTCGTCTCCCCCCTCCGCTTTTCCGAACATAGATGGACTCGTCCATCTGAATGACTGCCAAATCGCTCTCTGTGGTGCTAACGTTAAAAAAACACCGCCACTTTTTGCAAAATTTCTTGCTGTGGTTTTCACACCTGATGATGATTGCTGCTTTGTGTTGCAGTCGAAATGTCGCGAGAATTTTATATTGTTTTATATTTTTATTATTTTATTGTTTCCCTTCTACGTGGTGAGTTTACCAAAAGAACCAAGAATACTATACACTACACTATACACTACTACACACTACATTACTATACACTACACTACTATACACTACACTATACACTACACTATAAACTACACTATACACTACACTACTATACACTACACTACTATAGACTACACTACTATATACTACACTACACTATACACTGCACTATACACTACACTATACATTACTATACACTACACTATACACTCTATACACTATTATACACTGTGCTATACACTACACTATACACTACACTATACGCTACACTACTATACACTACACTACTACACACTACTACACACGACACTACTATACACTACACTATACGCTACACTATACACTACACTTTACATTACTATACACTACACTATACACTACACTATACACTACTAAACACTATTATACACTGCGCTATACACTACACTATACGCTACACTACTATACACTACATTACTATACACTTTTACACACTACACCACTATACACTACACTATACACTACTACACTAAACGCTACACTACTATACACTTCACTATACACTACACTACTATACACTACACTATACACTACTATACACTACACCATACACTACACTATACACTACACTACTATACACTACAATATACACTACACTATACACTACTATATACACTACTATACACTACACTATACACTACACTATACACTACACTATACACTACTACTATACACTACACTATACACTACTATACACTACACTACTATACACTACACCACTATACACTACACTATACAATACTACACACTACACTACAATATACACTACACCACTAAACACTACACTATACACTACACTGTACACTATACACTACACTATACACTACACTATACACTACACTACTATACACTACACTATACACTACACTATACACTACACTATACACTATACACTAAACACTACACTAAACACTACACTATACACTACACTATACACTACACTATACACTACACTATACACTACACTATACACTACAATACACTATACACTACAATACACTATACACTACACTATACACTAAATTACACTATACACTACACTATACACTACTATACACTATACACTACACTATACACTAAATTGCACTATACACTATACACTACACTATACACTACACTATACACTACACTATACACTACACTATACACTACTACACTATACACTACACTATACACAACACTATACACTACACTATATACTAATATACACTACACTATACACTACTATATACTAATATACACTACACTATACACTACTATATACTAATATACACTACACTATACACTACTATGTACTAATATACACTACACTATACACTACTATATGCTAATATACACTACACTATACACTACTATATACTAATATACACTACACTATACACAACTATATACTAATATACACTACACTATACACTACACTATATACTAATATACACTACACTATACACTACTATATACTAATATACACTACACTATACACTACTATATACTAATATACACTACACTATACACTACTATGTACTAATATAACCTACACTATACACTACTATATGCTAATATACACTACACTATACACTACTATATACTAATATACACTACAGTATACACAACTATATACTAATATACACTACACTATACACTACTATATACTAATATACACTACACTATACACAACTATATACTAATATACACTACACTATACACTACACCTAAGGCTACGTCCTCGTTGACGTCAATGGCAACGCTACTTATCAATAGCACGGATTTTACAGCTGATACCCTGATCCACTGTATCATTTCAATCGTCCTATCCTTATCCGCTGTACCAAGTCAATAGCTCAATCCTTATCTAGTGTACTAATTCAATTGTCCATCCTTATCTGATGTAGCAATTCAATCGGATTATCCGTTTTACGAATTCAATAGCCTGGTCCTTATCCGCTGTACTAATTATATTGACGTGTCCGCTGTACCAATTAAGATCCCTTATCCTTATCTGATGTACTAATTAAACAGCACTATTCCTATTAGATGTACTATTTCAAACGCTTATCCATATCCGATGTACCAATTCAAATCGAAGCAGACCCCGTACAAATGTGGCCGTCCGGGGATTCCCGACTGCGCGGCGATTGGTCAATCCCGTGTCACGTGATAAGGAAGCCTGTGCTAGGCCACGCCCCTCTGTTTTGAATCTGTGGGTCTCTGTGTGGTGAGTCTATGGGTCTCTGTGTGGTGAGTCTGTGGGTCTCTGTGTGGTGAGTCTATGGGTCTCTGTGTGGTGAGTCTGTGGGTCTCTGTGTGGTGAGTCTATGGGTCTCTGTGTGGTGAGTCTGTGGGTCTCTGTGTGGTGAGTCTATGGGTCTCTGTGTGATGAGTCTGTGGGTCTCTGTGTGATGAGTCTGTGGGTCTCTGTGTAGTGAGTCTATGGGTCTCTGTGTGAGTCTATGGGTCTCTGTGTGGTGAGTCTATGGGTCTCTGTGTGGTGAGTCTGTGGGTCTCTGTGTGGTGAGTCTATGGGTCTCTGTGAGGTGAGTCTATGGGTCTCTGTGTGGTGAGTCTATGGGTCTCTGTGGTGAGTCTGTGGGTCTCTGTGTGGTGAGTCTATGGGTCTCTCTGTGGTGAGTCTATGGGTCTCTGTGTGGTGAGTCTGTGGGTCTCTGTTTGGTGAGTCTATGGGTCTCTGTGTGGTGAGTCTATGGATCTCTGTGTGGTGAGTCTGTGGGTCTCTGTGTGGTGAGTCTATGGGTCTCTGTGTTGTGAGTCTATGGGTCTCTGTGTGGTGAGTCTATGGGTCTCTGTGTGGTGAGTCTATGGGTCTCTGTGTGGTGAGTCTATGGGTCTCTGTGTGGTGAGTCTATGGGTCTCTGTGTGGTGAGTCTATGGGTCTCTGTGTGGTGAGTCTGTGGGCCTCTGTGTGGTGAGTCTGTAGGTCTCTGTGTGGTGAGTATATGGGTCTCTGTGTGGTGAGTCTATGGGTCTCTGTGTGGTGAGTCTGTGGGTCTCTGTGTGGTGAGTCTGGGGGTCTCTGTGTGGTGAGTCTGTGGGTCTCTGTGTGGTGAGTCTATGGGTCTCTGTGTGGTGAGTCTATGGGTCTCTGTGTGAGTCTATGGGTATTTGTGTGAGTGAGTCTGTGGGTCTCTGTGTGGTGAGTATGTGGGTCTCTGTGTGGTGAGTCTGTGGGTCTCTGTGTGGTGAGTCTATGGGTCTCTGTGTGGTGAGTCTATGGGTCTCTGTGTGTTGAGTCTATGGGTCTCTGTGTGTTGAGTCTGTGAGTCTCTGTGTGGTGAGTCTATGGGTCTCTGTGTGGTGAGTCTATGGGTCTCTGTGTAGTGAGTCTATGGGTCTCTGTGTGGTGAGTCTATGGGTCTCTGTGTGATGAGTTTGTGGGTCTCTGTGTGGTGAGTCTGTGGGTCTCTGTGTGGTGAGTCTGTGGGTCTCTGTGTGGTGAGTCTATGGGTCTCTGTGTGATGAGTCTATGGGTATCTGTGTGGTGAGTCTATGGGTCTCTGTGTGGTGAGTCTATGGGTCTCTGTGTGTGAGTGAGTCTGTGGGTCTCTGTGTGGTGAGTCTGTGGGTATCTGTGTGGTGAGTCTGTGGGTCTCTGTGTGATGAGTCTATGGGTCTCTGTGTGGTGAGTCTATGGGTCTCTGTGTAGTGAGTCTATGGGTCTCTGTGTGGTGAGTCTATGGGTCTCTGTGTGTTGAGTCTATGGGTCTCTGTGTGGTGAGTCTATGGGTCTCTGTGTGGTGAGTCTGTGGGTCTCTGTGTGGTGAGTCTATGGGTCTCTGTGTGGTGAGTCTATGGGTCTCTGTGTGGTGAGTCTATGGGTCTCTGTGTGGTGAGTCTATGGGTCTCTGTGTGGTGAGTCTGTGGGTCTCTGTGTGGTGAGTATATGGGTCTCTGTGTGGTGAGTCTGTGGGTCTCTGTGTGGTGAGTCTGTGGGTCTCTGTGTGGTGAGTCTGTGGGTCTCTGTGTGGTGAGTCTATGGGTCTCTGTGTGGTGAGTCTATGGGTCTCTGTGTGGTGAGTCTATGGGTCTCTGTGTGGTGAGTCTATGGGTCTCTGTGTAGTGAGTCTATGGGTCTCTGTGTGGTGAGTCTATGGGTCTCTGTGTGTTGAGTCTATGGATCTCTGTGTGGTGAGTCTATGGGTCTCTGTGTGTTGAGTCTATGGGTCTCTGTGTGGTGAGTCTGTGGGTCTCTGTGGTGAGTCTGTGGGTCTCTGTGTGGTGAGTCTAATTATTCATCATCATCACCACCGCCTTCATTGTGACGTTTTGGATGTACTTTCCTCGTCACAGCACTGTGGAAGTGACGTGATGCAATGGGGGCAAGGCAGTCACCTGCTGTTCGTGCCAAACCACCAGCTGTGACGTACCCCAGGTCAGTCAGACACTCACTCAGACACTCACTCAGACACTCAGACACTCATTCAGACACTCACACAGAGACTCACTCAGACACTCACTCAGACACTCACTCAGACACTCAGAGACTCACTCATAGACTCACTCACAGAATCACAGACTCACTCACTCACTCACAGACTCACTCACTCAGAGACTCACTCACTCACAGAATCACTCAGAGACTCACTCACTCACTCACAGACTCACTCACTCAGAGACTCACTCACAGAATCACAGACTCACTTACTCACTCACAGACTCACTCACTCAGACTCACTCACAGACTCACTCACAGACTCACAGACTCACTCAGAGACTCACTCAGAGACTCACTCACAGACTCACTCACAGACTCACTCACTCACTCATAGACTCAAAGGCTCACAGACTCACTCACTCACTGACTCACCGACTCACTCACTCACAGACACACTCACTCACTCATAGACTCACTCAGAGACTCACTCACTCACAGACTCACTCAGAGACTCACTCACAGACTCACTCACAGACTCACAGACTCACTCAGAGACTCACTCACTCACTCAGAGACTCACAGACTCACTCACTCATAGACTCACTCAGAGACTCACTCACTCACAGACTCACTCAGAGACTCACACACTCAGAGACTCACTCAGAGACTCACTCAGAGACTCACTCACTCACAGACTCACTCACTCAGACACTCACTCACAGACTCACTCAGTCAGAGACTCACCCAGTGGACTGAAGATCAGCCTACAGGTGGTGAGACTCACTCACTCAGAGACTCACTCACTCAGAGACTCACTCAGAGACTCACTCACTCAGAGACTCACTCAGAGACTCACTCACTCAGACACTCTCTCACTCAGAGACTCACTTACTCAGAGACTCACTCAGAGACTCACTCAGAGACTCACTCACTCCCTCAGACTCACTCACTCAGAGACTCACTCAGAGACTCACTCAGACACTCACTCATTCACTCACTCAGACACTCACTCACTCAGACACTCACTCAGACACTCACTCAGACACTCACACAGAGACTCACTCACTCAGACACTCAGACACTCACCCAGACACTCACTCAGACACTCACTCAGACACTCACACAGAGACTCACTCACCCAGACACTCACTCAGAGACTCACTCAGACACTCACTTAGACACTCACTCAGAGACTCACTCAGAGACTCACTCACTCACTCAGACACTCACTCAGAGACTCACTCAGACACTCACTCAGACACTCACTGAGAGACTCACTCAGACACTCACTCAGACACTCACTCAATGACTCACTCAGAGACTCACTCAGAGACTCACTCAGACACTCACTCAGACACTCACTCACTCAGAGACTCACTCAGACACTCACTCAGACACTCACTCAGAGACTCACTCACTCACTCAGACACTCACTCACTCAGAGACTCACTCAGACACTCACTCAGACACTCACTCGCTCAGACACTCACTCACTCAGACACTCACTCACTCAGACACTCACTCAGTGACTCACTCAGAGACTCACTCAGACACTCACTCAGACACTCACTCAGACACTCACTCAGAGATTATGGTGGTGATGGTGGTGATGGTGATGGTGGTGATGGTGGTGATGGTGGTGATGGTGATGATGGTGGTGATGGTAGTGTTGGTGATGATGGTGGTGGTGATGATGGTGATGATGATGGTGATGATGATGGTGATGATGATGGTGATGTTGTAGCGTGTCGAGTGATGGGATTCCGCTACCACCGCCTGCCTTCGAGATCAGCCGCCTGCCTCTGGGTGACTACAGTCGCCCTGCCTGTAAGTCACTCAGTCAGTCACTCAGTCACTCACTCAGTCAGTCACTCAGTCAGTCACTCAGTCACTCAATCAGTCACTCAGTCAGTCACTCAGTCACTCAGTCAGTCACTCAGTCAGTCACTCCGTCACTCAGTCAGTCACTCAGTCACTCACTCAGTCAGTCACTCAGTCACTCAGTCACTCACTCAGTCACTCAGTCACTCAGTCAGTCACTCCGTCAGTCAGTCAGTCACTCACTCAGTCACTCAGAGACTCACTCACTCACTCAGTTACTCACTCAGTCAGTCACTCACTCAGTCAGTCATTCACTCAGTAAGTCACTTAGTCAGTCACTCAGTCACTTACTCACTCACTCCGTCACTCAGTCAGTCACTCAGTCAGTCACTCAGTCACTCACTCAGTCACTCACTCAGTCACTCAGTCACTCACTCAGTCAGTCACTCAGTCACTCAGTCACTCACTCAGTCACTCCGTCAGTCAGTCAGTCACTCACTCAGTCACTCAGAGACTCACTCACTCACTCAGTTACTCACTCAGTCAGTCACTCAGTCACTCACTCAGTCAGTCACTCAGTCACTCAGTCACTCACTCAGTCACTCAGTCACTCAGTCAGTCACTCCGTCAGTCAGTCAGTCACTCACTCAGTCACTCAGAGACTCACTCACTCACTCAGTTACTCACTCAGTCAGTCACTCACTCAGTCAGTCATTCACTCAGTCAGTCACTTAGTCAGTCACTCAGTCACTTACTCACTCACTCCGTCACTCAGTCAGTCACTCAGTCAGTCACTCAGTCACTCACTCAGTCACTCAGTCACTCACTCAGTCAGTCACTCAGTCACTCAGTCACTCACTCAGTCACTCCGTCAGTCAGTCAGTCACTCACTCAGTCACTCAGAGACTCACTCACTCACTCAGTTACTCACTCAGTCAGTCACTCACTCAGTCAGTCATTCACTCAGTCAGTCACTTAGTCAGTCACTCAGTCACTTACTCACTCACTCCGTCACTCAGTCAGTCACTCAGTCAGTCACTCAGTCAGTCACTCAGTCACTCACTCACTTAGTCACTCACTCAATTACTCACTCAGTCACTCAGTCACTCAGTTAGACACTCAGTCAGACACTCAGTCAAACACTCACTCACTCAGTCACTCACTCAGTCAGTCACTCACTCAGTCACTCAGTAACTCACTCACTCATTTACTCAGTTAGATACTCAGTCACTCAGTTAGACACTCAGTCAGACACTCAGTCAAACACTCACTCACTCACTCAGTCAGTCACTCACTCAGTCACTCAGTAACTCACTCACTCAGTCACTCAGTTAGACACTCAGTCAGACACTCACTCAGCCCCTCACTCAGTCACACTGCCCCGGTATGGGAAACTCTCCACTCTCTCCACAACTGCCCCATCACCGATTGGGAGTTGTGGGGGTGGAGTGTCCAATGGTACAAAATACCCAGGCAGGTGCTTAGTTTTGGTGGGGCTGATGGTAAGGCCCCATCTCTTAGTAGCACGCTCCAGTCTCAGCAGCAGCGTCTCCAACTCCTCCTCTGAATGAGCAGCAATTACCAAATCATCGGCATACATAACGTGGTTGAGCAATAGGGAGCCATCCCTTGACCGCATCCGGGCATCGATCAGCCTCCCATTATATCTGTACCATATGGAGATTCCCCCGGTACAGCTATTGAAGGCTTCACGAACTACGTGGTCAAAATAGATGTTAAATAATGTGGGAGCCAGAGGACATCCCTGTCGCACCCCAAGGTGTACAGGGAATGGCTCTGACTCCCGGCCACGTAGTTTTACCCGGGCCCGCTCACCATCATGAAGGTCCTTAATGATCGTGAGCAGAGGGTCGGGAACTCCGAAAGCACGAAGAACGACCCAGAGCCCAGGCCTACTGATGGTATCATAGGCCTTGACCAGGTCAATAAAGCAGAGATGGTCGGTCTTGTTGGAATTCCCTACACCTCTGCTGAATCACATTTACAGTAGCCTTGATAATAAGCAGTACTGTGCCTGTCTTTTTCTAGACCTGTCCAAAGCTTTTGATACAGTAGACCACAACACCCTGCTTAGTAAACTAAGTTGCCTCGCTTTTTCCGAAAACGCAGTGAAATGGCTACAAAAAATTCCTCTTTTCTCGCTCCCAAACTGTATTCACAGATGGTTGGAGGTCAAACAGTGTCAAGATAACAAAAGGGGTTCCACAGGGTTCCATCCTCGGCCCCCTCTTGTTCTCTCTTTATGTCAATGACTTAGGCACTGAACTGGATCATTCCAGGGTAAATCTTTTTTGCAGATGACACGATACTGATTACTGCTGGCCGCTCTCCGGATGACGTGATTGCTAAGCTCCAGGGTGATTTCAACAAACTACAACATCAGCTAGTTGTTCTTTAACTGGTCCTGAATACCTCCAAAACCAAGGTGCTATGCTTCTCACCGGGACTAAAACAGGAAGTTATTTTTCCCCAATGACATTCCTTAAATAATTATCAAATAGAGCAAGTCAAGATCTATAAGTATCTTGGGGTCATCCTGGATTCAAAAGTTAATTTTTAATGTCACATTGATTATATTGGTAAAAAGACAAAAATAAAAATTGGTTTTCTGTATCGACACAAGCACTGCCAACCCCAAATGTTCCGTTTGGAATTGATAAAAGCTTCCGTACTGCCTCTACTGGATTACTGTAACATCGTGTATAAATCAGCCCCAAGTTCTGTACTGAAGAAGCTTGATTCCATCTATCACTCGGCCTTAAGATTTACATTGAACTGCCCATATAGGACTCACCACTGTGATCTCTACATTGGGTCAAACTTAACATCTCTTAATGATCGACGGCTTGTGCACCAGATCTTATTTATTCACGATGTACTTACAAACAAAATCCGAAGACTTACCTGATGCTGGATCTCCTCTCTGTTTCAAAGAACAAATTTGACCTCAAGGATTCGCTCATTTACCAGCTTCACATTCCCCTATTGCCGTACAAAGACTGGAGGAAGGGCCTTTTGCTATTGATGCCCCCAGAGTCTGGAATGCTATTGCCAATAAACTGCAGCTTGTATCGCTACCAATGAGATCTTCACTCAAAACTGCTCTAGAGGAGGTGTACACCCCTAGCTGCCACTGCTATTCATTGGTGTAAAATAAAATAAAATGTTTCGCTCCGGATGACGCTGCAAAGTATTATCTGTACTTTGATTTAGCGTGCTGATCTTAAAGGTGCATTGAAAAATTTGATACTCCGACTGATGCTCCTGCTGTTGTTTGTGGAGTGACTCATGCAGCCAGCTATGGCTCTAGGATTTGGTGTTACATGTTATTGTTTATGTAGTTTATTGTTAAAAATTCGGCCACAGTCCCCTGTGATCAATGTTAGGTTGCAATGATTGCATTTATTTTTTGGTGATTTCGAAAACGTTTTTTGTTTTGGTCATGTTTTTGTTTTTGTTGTAGTACGGAGTTAGACTGACGGCCTTAATCTAAGTTGTCTTGTTTTTGTTTTGTTGTAGTACGGAGTTAGACTGATGGCCTTAATCTAAGTTGTCTTGTTGTAGTTGTTGTTGTAGTACGGAGTTAGACTGATGGCCTTAATCTAAGTTGTCTTGTGGTTGTTGTTGTAGTACGGAGTTAGACTGACGGCCTTAATCTAAGTTGTCTTGTTTTTGTTTTGTTGTAGTACGGAGTTAGACTGATGGCCTTAATCTAAGTTGTCTTGTGGTGGTTGTTGTAGTACAGAGTTTAGACTGATGGCCTTAATCTAAGTTGTCTTGTGGTTGTTGTTGTTGTAGTACGGAGTTAGACTGATGCCTTAATCTAAGTTGTCTTGTGGTTGTTGTTGTAGTACGGAGTTAGACTGATGGCCTTAATCTAAGTTGTCTTGTGGTTGTTGTTGTGGTACGGAGTTAGACTGGTGGCCTTAATCTAAGTTGTCTTGTGGTTGTTGTTGTAGTACGGAGTTAGACTGATGGCCTTAATCTAAGTTGTCTTGTGGTTGTTGTTGTAGTATGGAGTTAGACTGATGGCCTTAATCTAAGTTGTCTTGTTGTGGTTGTTGTTGTACGGAGTTAGACTGATGGCCTTAATCTAAGTTGTCTTGTGGTTGTTGTTGTAGTACGGAGTTAGACTGACGGCCTTAATCTAAGTTGTCTTGTTTTTGTTTTGTTGTAGTACGGAGTTAGACTGATGGCCTTAATCTAAGTTGTCTTGTGGTGGTTGTTGTAGTACAGAGTTTAGACTGATGGCCTTAATCTAAGTTGTCTTGTGGTTGTTGTTGTAGTACGGAGTTTAGACTGATGGCCTTAATCTAAGTTGTCTTGTGGTGGTTGTTGTAGTAGTACGGAGTTAGACTGATGGCCTTAATCTAAGTTGTCTTGTTGTGGTTGTTGTTGTAGTACGGAGTTAGACTGATGGCCTTAATCTAAGTTGTCTTGTGGTTGTTGTTGCAGTACGGAGTTTAGACTGACGGCCTTAATCTAAGTTGTCTTGTGGTTGTTGTTGTAGTAGTACGGAGTTAGACTGATGGCCTTAATCTAAGTTGTCTTGTGGTTGTTGTTGTTGTAGTACGGAGTTTAGACTGATGGCCTTAATCTAAGTTGTCTTGTGGTTGTTGTTGTTGTAGTACGGAGTTAGACTGATGCCTTAATCTAAGTTGTCTTGTGGTTGTTGTTATTGTAGTACGGAGTTAGACTGATGGCCTTAATCTAAGTTGTCTTGTTGTTGTTATTGTAGTACGGAGTTAGACTGATGGCCTTAATCTAAGTTGTCTTGTGGTTGTTGTTGTGGTACGGAGTTAGACTGGTGGCCTTAATCTAAGTTGTCTTGTGGTTGTTGTTGTAGTAGTACAGAGTTAGACTGATGGCCTTAATCTAAGTTGTATTGTGGTTGTTGTTGTAGTACGGAGTTAGACTGATGGCCTTAATCTAAGTTGTCTTGTGGTTGTTGTAGTAGTACAGAGTTAGACTGATGGCCTTAATCT